GGGGGGGGGGGGGGGGGGGGGGGGGGGGGGGGGGGGGGGGGGGGGGGGGGGGGGGGGGGGGGGAGGGCACAGCTCGAGGCAAAGGTGAAGGGAGGACGGTTTTCTATTGGAGCAAGAGGAAGGGAGGAGGGGAAGGGAGCAGACGAAGCGGGGCACATGACAATGCTCTGTCCCTCTCCGCGCCCTAATCCTCAAGAGGAGACGAGAGGGGGAGAAAAGGAGAGAGAGAGAGAGAGAGAGAGAGAGAGAGAGAGAGAGAGGGGGGGGGGGGACAATTAGCGCGCCTCCCTCCCCACTGGCACGCCAGGGAATCGAAACAGGGGGGAGGGGAAAGGACAGACGAGGAGAGGGGCGGCAGGGGGGAAGGAAGGGCGAGCGACCACCAGAAGGGGGAGCCTGCCCTTCGTGCTCCTTTTTGGTGCGGACAAGATGAACATAGGCGCATGCCCGACATCATACCCCACATGCATAGGAGGGGGGAGGAGGAGGGGAGGGAGTTGTCCAAGCGCGTATGAACACGCTGGGCTGAATTGAGAAGAACTCAGGCTCAATTCATCCCTCGGGGGAAGAGACGAGATATGGGGAAAGGGATGGGGGGATATACTGCGCCAAGGAGCACATGTTGCTGATGGAGTTGTGAGGAGAAGGGGACGGAGAGGGCGCCGGCCAACGTTGCGCGGGGAGGGAATCGCGTGTGTGTGTGTGCGCGCACGCGCGCCCAATAAAGTACACTGGGGAGGAAGGAGAGGAGGGGGGGGGGGGAGTGCACACAGTGACGCAATGACGCCGGGGGAGGGGGGAGGGGGGGGGGATGGAGGGGAGGGGAGGGGCATCTCAAGCCCCATCACTCGTCGACAGGCAGTTTCTCGATCTGGCGGATGAGGAAGTTCTTCTCCTCGGCAAACTGATTGTCATTACGGGTGCGCTCCTCCTGGAAGGTGGACAGGAAGGTCAAGATCTGCCGGCGGTTCTTGGTCAGCAGACCCAGGATCTCCGGGGCCTTGTTGGGATTGGCCACGAAGACCTTGAAGACATGGAAGGCCTCATACTGCACGTTGCGGGACCGGTCGCGCAGGAGAACCATGATGAGCTTCAGGTTGTTCGAGTGACTAATGTAACGGGTCATGATGTTGAAGTTGACACGCTCGAGGAGAAGCTCACCCAGGAG